GTGGTGCTGGGGGATTGAACCGCGGTCCCTGTGCTTTGCCAAGCTTGTTCCAAGTAGGTGCTTTAGACCACTGAGCCATCTCTCCAGCCCCACTTCTGTCCTTTAAAGGAGTTGTTTGTAAATTTTTTTTTTTATTTTAGGGAAGGATCTACAGGGTGTTTACTAGATTGGATTTATAGTGATCTGCCTGTTTATAGCCTCCCAAGAGCTGGGATTACAGGCGTGCGCGTCACCAAGCCCAGCCTCAATTGCTATCTCAGGGCACCCTGGGGGTAGAACGGGCCCAACACAGCAGGACCAGGGATTGAACCCCCCTGCCCCTGCTTGCAGGTGCTTTAATCTGCTGAGCTATTTGGCTGGCCCGAAAGAAGTTTTAAACTATCCTAAAGATTGATTTGTTAGCATTCAGAGTTCAGTGATAATGTGCAAGTTAGGGGATAAAGCAGAACTGGACCTGTGAAAAATTGTGGTCCAACTGTTCTTGTTTGCTCTTTATTATGGAGAAAGATGGGAGAGAACACACACAGCAAAGGGGAAGTTCTTTTTTAACTGAAAACAATAATGGAATGGAAAGGAGGTCTGAGGACGGGTTCTACGAGAATGTAGTAGAGTGTGCAGGTTAGAACACAGGATAGGGGCCTGGGAGATGGCTCAGCATAGGAGTGCACACCTGTGATCCCAACACTCCAGAGGCTGAGGCAGGAAGATTGCCATGAGTTTGAGGCCAGCCTGAGCTACAAGAGTTAGTTTGAGGACAGCCTGAACTACATGTAAATGGCAAGAACCATCTTAAAAGACAAGATTGACAAAGAATCATTACGAGGGACTAGGGAGATGGCTCAGTAGAATAAGTGCTTCCCTGGCAAGCGCAAGGGCCTGAGTTCAATCCCCGGTTCCGCAAAAAAAAAACCCACAGGATAAGCGCTCATGTACTTACAGCTTGCTTTATGGCTGGAATTGGTCCTATTCCCATAAGGGAAGGCTCTACTCCTGCTTGTGCCCAGGAAACGATCTCTGCTAAAGGCGTAAGTCCACGATGATCAGCTTCTGACTTCTTCATGAGCACCACAGCTGCAGCGCCGTCGTTCATGCCTGTAAAATGTGAGCGACTTGATTTCCACAGTGCTCATTAACTTCAATTCCATGTCTTTGACTACCTTCTTTTCTACCTAAGACATTAGTCATATTATTTTGACATCTTGGCAAAACTGCTTGCCACAGTTAAGCTGACTTTATAATAGAGTTACAAATGCTAAGGGTAGTGTGAAACTGACCACAGAAAGTGGAAAAATTACAGTAGTAGGGAAGACTCAAGGACATGGAACAAGGATGTAGTAGGTATTTCTGGCATAGGAAACAAAGGTAGCTAGGCTGGAGTACACAAATTTATTGTTTCATTTATATGTCTAATTGAGATTCCAAGAAACCAAATCAATTCAGTATAGATTATGGGCTGGTGAGATGGCTCAGTGGTCTAAAGCACCTACTTAGAAGAAGCTTAGCAAAGCACAGGGACCACGGTTCAATCCCCCAGCACCACATGCCAGCCAGCCCTGCCCCCTGGTGGGCTGAGCTGGCCACACACACACAC